ACACAAGAGACCAAGGAAGACCAACAGAGGGGCAGCCGCGCCACTGTCCCAGAAAGAGCTGAGGAGAGTCCCAGATGAGGGCTCACTCAGCAGCCGCGGAGCAGAAGCCAGGGGGAGTTGCAGTGACGCGCCCGTGAGCTCCGCCGGCAGCCAGCCGTGCCTGAGTGACCGAGCCCCAGGCCGAGAGGCCGGGGGCACCCCACCTCCGAAGTGGCCCGAGCGAGCCCCAGGCTCCAGGCCCCGATAAGTGGCCGCCAAGGAGTGAGCCGGTGTGTACCTGGACGCCCATCCCCGGACACAAAGAACCACCAACGCACCGATGTCTGAGGGAGTCCGCCACTGGCAGGGGAAGTGGTGGTGGGGGGAGATAGGCCTCCAAACCTTGGAGGGCCTGAGATGTCCCCAGAGAGGTGGCGCCTGACACCCAACCTGACATATAGACACAGACATACAGGCACACACAGATACAAACATCCATCCCCACCCTCATGCTCTCATATGCACTTACTCCACACTCAACCAACGTGGAGACAGACATAAAGAGACGCTGTACACACAATCACACTCCCCAAGCGTACTCTACGAACCGGGTCTAGGTACCCTTGCCCCTGGAGGGGGGAACTGCACCCAGACCCAGGTGGTGTTACCCTTTTCCCTGCGGTGGGGGGAGGCAGACCGCCCCGACTCCGCAGCAGCAGGGAGGCCCCACACTCCAGACCGCAGTCGGACGGCCAACTCCTCCTCCTAGCCCCCCCGCTCCAGCAGGTCGCAGAGAATGGGGGTGAGAGAAGACTCCAAACCTCCCTCCACCCGCTCATTGTAGTGTTGATGCATGTGTGTTCTAAGGTGCATTTAAAACCCAGGAGGGCATGGAGCTACCTGCCAGAGAGCAGCAGGTAAACGCATGGTCCCTCCTGCTAGCCCTCAATGTCTACGTGTATTTAAAATTTAAAAGCTTTATGTTAAAGTATCAAAAATAATTTATTTTTTATCAACTTTAATGCTTTGCATATAAAGTTTTTTTTAACCCTCTCAAGGCAGGCGTTGCAGATTTGCAACAGTTAACCTTTAACAGTTAACAACCTGATTACCCCACATACATATTTTATGAGGTTTTTTTTTACTCAGAAGTACCACTGCAGGTATTATTTTGTGCATTAGCAAAAAAACTTAATTTGAGCCTGAGAGGGTTAACTTGATTTTGACACATCTAAAATAATAATAGTCTAGTAGATGCAACCCCGATTTAAAACAAATGCTGTCTTAAACCTAAATTAAAATGGAATGCAATGATTTTCTAATTTTATTGTATTCAAAACAGAAAAACATAAAATATATTAAATGCTTAAAGACACATTTTTGTATTTCATGAAGAATATTAGACAATTTTAAATGTGATTACAGCTACATCATCATAAAGCTCATTGAGAAATTCACTTAAGCAAAACATGATTATTTTTTAATTATTGAATTATTTATTTAGTTTGTATGATGCAATCATTGATCTTATTGAGTCTGATTAAAATATGACATCAATTTTAGATGAATGTTTGCACATACGAGTGACCCTGAAGAAGAATGCACTGAGAATTTAATGTGAACTATGAGGGGTTATTTTAATGATTTGGGAAATGCAACAATAATACAACAATGACAAGAAAATTGTCACCAACTACTGGAAGAATCTGGTGATTTTCTTTTTTCTTTCTCTTTTATCATTGAGGATACAGACTGTGGAAAATCAAAGGACAGTACATACCACAAGAAAACAGAGAAGTGAAAACTCCTAACAGAAACCCAGGGACAATTGTTGTTATACTCTTGTCTGGTTACCAGACAAGAGTATAACAACTCTTGTTGTTAACCTGCACCTCTTTACTCATCCATGTCATAGATGCAGATATTAGAGATAGAAGACATGATCATTTTCTGTACGATCTTCAGTCTACTGTAATACAGTCACTTCACTGTAGCTCTGAGACTTAGACTTATTTCAGACTGTGGGTGTTTGGACCTATGTTAAATATCCCAGTATGGATTAAAACACAAATTAAAAAAAAAACAAAACCTAAATACAGTGTTTCTCCATTTGAGATTTCACAACTTTCTTAATTTTGAAATAAAAAAAATGCCACACCTGCAATGCGAGGAACAAATTAGAAAGCACCTGATAGTTGATGTATGTGACTCTGTGATTACAATCACATAACCTTTAACCACATAACTATTAATACTCAGTTGATACCTTAGTCATTCTTCTTTTGCATGCTGAAGTATTGATACAAAACACTCTACATAGTACCTCATCGCTTTATCACTAAAGCATCTGACTGAATTGTTAGTATTTAGTTCCTTGTGAACTGATAAATCACAATCAAATATTACAGACTGCTGTGATCAGAGGGCATGTGAATGTGATTGGATGCTGAGCTAAACCACCTTCACAGCATATTTGCTTCCACTGGACTCTGATTAACTGATAGGTAAATAATAAACCTGTGTGAGTAAAGAAAATAAAAGTTTTCCCTTCTCTGAACGACAAAAATATTGATAATAATCATCTTAAAACTTAAAGGTTCAAAACAGATTTATCTGATTTGAACCTTTTATATAAGAAAACCTGACTCCTTTCACACTGTTTACACCAAACCTTTACATCTGTATAATTTATGATAGCAATGAAAAAGAGTTGTGACACCAATAAAATTCCAAAGTCATACACATGGTAAAACATATATTTGTCTGAATCCTGTTTTATATGCTCATAAAATGAATAAATGAGCATTGATATTTAGTCTATGAATTACCTACAAAAGCAAAACAAATATGCTGCTGTTTACAGATTTGATTAAATGGTTTTTCTTACCTGCAAATAAAGCAGGGCAGAAGAGAAGCTACACAAATAACTTCATCCTTTCTGAATTGTTAACGCTCCAGGATGATCAGACATTGAAAATCTGATGGACTGGACTTGAAACTGTGCAAGATTCAAACCATCACCCACCAGATCAACTCTGATGAAATAAGTCCTCCAATCTAAAAAAATATATTTGCTCTTACCCTCAGAAACGACCCAAAATAAGCCCACCTACAGCTGGCAGGAAAACCACAAATGGATGGTGAATGATCAATAATGATGATTTGTTTTGGATTTTTTCCAGATATGTCATGCTATATGTGTAATGTTTAGACTTTTTGTTTTTAGTCCCCTGTTGAGAAGGAAGGTTCAGAGATTTGAAGTTGTTACCATCATGGGCTCATTCGATTAGAATGAGATTAAACAGTCATCAAGCATTTACAAGATTCTCCTTTTATTTAAAGAATCAGTAAGGAAAGACACACATGGACTGCTAACGCTGAAAAGAAACAAAGAGATTTAAGTTACTCATTACCTTAAACAATACAAAATCACAAGATGTAAACAGAACCTCACTTCCGCTGCCGCCCCGTGTGGGAGTGAAGAAAGAGTGAACTATAGGCGAATGCAGTCCTTATATAACATATGACGGGTGAGTGCAATTAAGGGCAGTTGTAGACACACTGCTGGCCCTGTGCTGGCCCAGAACGGTTTCAGCTCTGGCCCCAGATGTCAGCCTAATGTGTACCTTAATCAAGCCATTAAATAACAACATGTGCCAGAACATGCAAAACAGTGCAAAAGTAACATGAAAAGTCAGACAGTGAATGGACTGATTTTGATATAGCGCTTTTCTACTCTCCCAGATTACTCAAACTGCTCCATACAACATGCCACATCCACCCACTTTTGCTTAACTGACTGCTTTCTAACTACATTCATACACATTCACACTCTTGACATGCAGACTGGAGGAGCCAGGGATCGAACCACTAACCTTCCTATCAGTTTGTAACCTACTCTACCACCTGAGATATGGCATGCCATCGCATAAACAGTGGCGTCATTGCCAGACCTGGCACACATCTGGTTGGCATACACTCTGCCAAAACACCAGTCAGTCAGAAGTGCCAGCTTGATGCCAGATCTGGGCCAGACCTGTTTTTTGTAGGCCTGGGCCACATAAACCAAGCCACAATCAAGCCAGATATGGCATGCCATCACATAGACAGTGCCATCCATACCAGGCCTGGCCTATATCTGGATGACATACGTCTTATCATGCCAGAAGTCGGCCAGCAGTGCCGACTTGATACCAGATCCTGGCCAGACCTGCTTGCTATGTGGGCACTAACACACACAGACACAGTTACTTTACCAACTGACCCCTGAGCTCCTAAGTATCCCCCAAACCTCATTCAGGGATCCACTCCTCTACTTCAATGTCACTCCATGAAAGCTCACTGTCCTCACTTTCTGAGGACAGGAAGTGAACATTCCCTTGGTTTCCTTCCATAAAAGGTATTTACATCCATGTCCTGTAATTATGAGTAGATTGTAAAGTAAAAAACATTGACTATGATCATATAAATGCACACAAACACATCTCTACACACATATCGAAATGCATTATATTGCCTGAAAAAAATTGGGCTAACTGCGCAGTGTTGCCTTGAGGCAACGAATGAAAATTAACAGTTTTACTGTATAAATAAATTTACAAAAGTAGAACAAACAATCAAATATGCTTCCTAACATATTCATGCACATACAAGTATTTTTTAATATACATTTATTTCACTATAAACATGTAAAATAGTGATCTTTATCTTGATTCCTAATGGAGATGTACCTCATGTAATGCAGCTTGCAGAAAGGGGTCCTCCCCCACCAAAATGAAAGTCACACCACCTTCAACTCATCATTTTATCGGAAAGAGATGTGTCTGGTAGCATTATTTGAAAAAAAAAAAGTTGTTTTTTTTTGAAGGGCCACCGTAAGGCATGAAAATGTGGTTTGTTGCCTCAGGGCAACGCTATGCTGTAGAGGGTTAAGTCATGGCACAGCATTAATCGCTTACTTTGGAGGCAGAACTTCAACGCATGTGGGAGGGGCAGGAATCTGATATTTGTACTCTTTCGGATTTTCAAGGCCTCCAGATTTTCATGGTTTCTTGGTCCGACAGCTTTAATCATAAAGAGAAGATGATATTACTTTTGTTGCCTCTCTTCTACCATGGTTTATTTGCAGGTAAGAAAGACTTTGAACTCCAACAACAGCCCCCCTCTATTTCTCTCTCTTTTAAATGCGTCACTACAATAATAAAGAGGATATAAACAGGATACAGACAAAATCAGGTTTTATCAGTTATGCTTGAAAGTTTTACTTTTCTTAATGAGGTGATATATAGGTGATGTATAATTAGAAATATTTTGATAATGGAGCATAAAAACTGCACAAAGTTTTATATCAGATTTACCCTGTTACAGAAGTTTTCAAAAGCTACATATCTGTAATATTTTTTGGCAGACTATTGACTATTAGACTATTGGTTTTAGTTGCTGACATTGTATTTCTGCATAGCTCATTCTCGATCATTTATTATTCACAAACCGAAAAGACCTAAATGCAATCTTTCTCGAAATCTTTGCAATTTATTGAAAGCTTAAAACAGTACATGAAGAAAATCGATATTTTATGACAAATGTTTTATTATTTAATGATAAGTCTTAAATATTTATCATGGACCAAAAATATCTCTGATTGTTGTTCTCGATTGTCTTTTGGCCCAAGCTGGACACGTTTTATTTTTCGGGATAGTGAGTACAAGTAATGTATTTTAACAGGAAACAGACTATTTTTCATCATGTAGCTTGTGACCTGTGTCCAGAGAAAAGGAGAACATGTCACCATGGCGATGTTGTATTTTAACTCGAAACACAATTTTAATATTTAACCTTAACTATTTTGTTGTTAGTGAAGTGAACTTGAACTGGGTCTCTGGTGTGAGTGTCCTGGCTATACCACCAGCCTCCACCAGCCTGATACAGTTGTTTATGTGTGTGCGTGCACACGTGTGTTGTTTTTTAAGTGGAAAATATTTTTTTTGCTTTAACGGACACGTTTTGATAGACAAAAGCTTGTGACTATTTCACTGCCATGAGAGTCCATTGTTTGGCCACGGGAGTTTACCAACCTGAGATTAATGTTCTCTTTGGGAGACTGTATAAAACATATTATAGTGAATTAATCATAATTCTGATGATGTTTGTATATTTCATGTACTTATTTACTTATTTTGTAAATATTGTTCCACAGTGAAACACTCGTTGATGCACTCTGTCACTGGATCCTCTGGAGACCCAAACATCTCAGAGTTTGCAGGTGTTGTATTGTTTGATGGCACTGAGGCCGTTTTCTGTGACAGCAGGAACAAGAAATTAGAACCAAGACAGGACTGGATGAAAAAAATATTCAGCAATGACACTCAGCACTTGGCATTGTACACCCAACAGTGTTTTGAAGATCAGCCAAAGATCTTCAGATTCTTGATTTCTACTGTAAAGCAGCTGTTACATCAAATAGAAGGTGCAGTATTTTGTGTTAAACCTGATTATTGGAGATTATGTATCGGAATTTCAGGAGCGGGACCACGCCTCCAAACACACTCCTTCCGGCTGTCCTCTATATAGGTTCCCCCAGTTCTGCAAACTGATCATTCTCATTTACGTGCCCCACCCTCCCTCCATCCTTGTTCTCCATTCTTCAACTTCTTCACTTCTATTTAGTACATGGGGATCTGCCAAGGCCCGGGAGCCATCACTAGTCCCCTTCGTGGCCTTTCCCAAACCGCAGCTTAATTCATGTCAAAGCATTCACTTTTACCTACTAAAATGCTGTAAAACCTAAAATGAGGACGTGGGCCCAGCGAGTGAAATATAAATCAAGGAATATACTTAAGGAAAAATGATTAATGTGAAATTGTTATTTTATCTATCTTCCACCTATCCAGTTCATGGTCAGGAGCTAATCCCAGCTGTTTTAGGGTAAGAGGCAGGGTACACCTTGGACAAGTCAACAGGGTGTCACAAGGCCAATAAAGAGACAGACAACTATTCACACCAGCAACCAATTTAGAATCGCCAGTTAAGCTAACTCACATATACATTTTGGAGTGTGGCAAGAAGTCAGACTAGCTGAAGAAACACATAAGCATGTAAGCACAGGAAGAATCTGCAAACTCCACACAGAAAAGGAACACCTGGCACCAGGATAGTGTAGTGTGATGCTTTGCGCAACTTTCTCACAGTATTCCCTAATTGCTGTGGCCTCTTGTAACATGATAATGGACCCTAACACAAAGAAAAAATGGATCAGAAATGAGGAGCACAGCAACGATTTTTAGATGTTGACTTGTCCTTCAAATTCCTCATATTTCAATCCATCCTAGCACTGTGAGATATGCTGGACAAACAAGTGATTCATTCAGCCCCCTCCTCACAGCTTACAGGACTTAAAGCATCTGTTATATACCAGCAAACCATCGGGGCTCTAGTGGCGTCCATACCTCGATGGTTCAGCTGCTGTTTTGGCAGCAAACGGAGGGTCCAACACAATATTCAACATGTGGCCATAATGCTCTGTCTGATTGGCATAATGTAGATGTATATTTTTTAAAAAATTGTTAGACTTATGCCCCCAGCCTAGGGGTAACTTGCAACTCCCCACTCTTCCTATTCCAAAGAAAGTGCCAACAGGACAGGATAATTTCAGATAATGAGGAGCAGTTCATTTGCTTTTGAGGTGAGTGTGTGGCTGTGAGCTGAAAACCTACATCCAATGTGTAAACAAGCAACCGTGAGTGATAATAAAAGCAAGATGCTGAAAAGCATGTGCGTGTCTGGGTCATTTACACACAGTTATCAGACTAAATTGATAGCTTCTAATCTGGCTACGCACTCACGCTCAATTCCAATGACAAGCTGGAGCAAAACTGGGGGCAAAAAAAGGTGGGGTAAGGACCATGCTGGATGTCAGCTTGAGTTGTAGAGGCTGCTGTTCATCTAGTGATCAAATCCACCCATATGAGTCATAGGACATTGAAAAAATAAAGTCCATAACCTTTCATTTGATATATTACTCAATATGGTTTCTTGAATATTTTTCAAAGCTTAAGTCTGACCTTGGGCACTAACCATGAAGGTCGAGTTCAAATGCTTAGCCAACATAGGTACTCGTGTCCCCAAGGCCTCAATATATTGTTGTGCAGTTTGAAGACAACCCATTAAAAAAAAAAGTTTTCACTGATTTTCACATTTGGTATGACGTTGACTTTGACTGAACTTTTCCCTCCTACCTCCCTGGTACCGCCCCTTGAGCTCAGTGCACCAGCTCTCCCGTGCAGCTGAGCCAGGGACCACACCTCTGCCACACATGCAAAATTTGAAAAAGATATCTTGAAAACTAACATGGTTTATAGCCTATAACTCTGTCAGATGATTCTTGGGATTAATCAGTTTATTCCCTCATCTTTATTTTGTAATCTTGATTTATCATACAAACTTTAATAATAAAAAGTCAGCAGATGATCTGACTTGAATCATGTGTAAAGTGCTAATTTCAGATAATAGAAGTTGCTCATACAATGTAGAATATTATCATAGTTTCTTGCTTACCCTGTTTTTTTTCTCTCTTTTTAGGTGTTCACATATTACAGAGAACAGGTGGATGTGAATGGAATGAAAACACTGATGAAGTGGTTGGTATGGTACAGTATGGGTATAATGGAGAAGGCTTTCTTGAACTGGATCTTAAGACACTGACATGGATCCCACTGAAACCAGAAGCTGCCATTATCAAAAAGGAATGGGATACTGACACAATTGTACTCAAAGACATTGAAAGCCTCCTCACTAAGGTTTGTCGAGAGTGGCTGAAGAGGTATTGGAGCTATGGGAGCAGCTTCCTGCAGAGAACAGGTAACAGGAATCACATGACCTGATGCAATTTCACAGATACAGTATACAGTTTATATTGTATTGTTCTGATGATATCAAAAGAAAATGGTAAAATGTTTAGGCTTATTTTGTATTTAACTCTTTAAATGTTGTTTTGTTTCTTTGTTTTGTTCTTTTTTTGGCCTGAAATTTGCATTGCTCTGTTTGCCTCATTCTTCCACACAGTCTTCAAATCCTGAAGGTTCTGTGGGCCTCTGATATGAAGTCTGACCTTCAGCTCTTTCTTAGATTTTTAAGTGGATTCAGGTCAGGTGATTGGCTAGGCCATTCTAGCAGCTCTATTTTCTTTCTCTGAAAACAGCTGAGAGGTTCTTTGGCTGTGTGTTTGGGATCATTGTCTCACTGAAACATCCACCCATTTTCATCTTCAACATCCTGGTAGATGGCAGCAGATTTTTCACCAACTTCACTGTTGATATGGTGTTTTTGGGTGATGTGCTGTGCCTTTGAACTCCAAACACTGTGTGTATGGTGTGTATTGCTATTCATTAAACTATCTATATATTCCCCCAGTAATTCTAAGGCTTACCTAAATGTTGTTTAGAAAACTTTCAACAGACTTCACTAATGAAGAAAAAGCATGTTGGAGTTGTGAGCGTGCATACAGACCATGGCAGCTGAGTGCATTACTTCTAGTTTTCTTTGAAACAGTTGTACCTTTTGATTCCAGGTCTTTCTGTAGTTCGTCATAACTACTGAAAGACCTTTTACGACTCTTCTGATCATTGCTCACAGGAACCTTCAGTAGTTTAGAAATTCTTCTGTAATCAATGCCATCAGCATATTTGCAAAAATAAGGTTGCAAAGGTCTTGAGAGCTCGTTGAGTCTACTCTTCGTGAGATGTTTCTTATGTGACACCTTGGTGATGAGACACTTTTTAAAGGCGATCAGTTGGGACTAAACCAGCTGAAATTAATTTGCACTAAGGCTTAATCCTCCATATATTAATGTTAGGCTATGTATAGATTTATAATAGATTTGTTGTCCAAAATGTGTGAGGGATATGAGGGAATTTTCAGCCAGGTCAAAATTGACCTGAACTACTTTGAAGGTATAGTGTATGAACAGTATTTTGGAGGCAACTCTAAAAGAAGCTAAGTCCAGGCACTGCTGTGCAGCTACAATGTTTTGCTGATGTGGTTTAACATTTTGATCAATGTCATCTTCAGTGAGATACAGTTTTAAATAAAAAATTACAAATGTAATGAAGAACCTTGTTATTCTTACTAGTGACCTAATTGAAAATTAAACAAAAAATGCAGCATTTTGGACAACTATCACTGACTGTCAGTACATAGATATATATCACTGTTATGTAAAGTATCTGGTTATGTGATTTATTCATCTTTGTATTTCTACATTGATCATATGGATTTAAATCTCTACTTCTTCCATTCATTCACGCTTGTTTACCTCTTTGCATCTCTTTTCCACCTTCCCTCTCTGCAGTTCTTCCCTCAGTGTCTCTCCTCCAGAAGACTCCCTCCTCTCCAGTCAGCTGCCATGCCACAGGTTTCTATCCCAACAAAGCTATGATGTTCTGGAGAAAAGATGGAGAGGAGATTCATGAAGGTGTGGTCCACAGAGAAATCCTCCCCAACAATGATGAGACCTTCCAGATAACTGTTAATCTGAATGTTTCATCAGTAAGACCAGAAGACTGGAAAAGATACGACTGTGTGTTTCATCTCTCTGGTGTTGAGGACAACATTGTAACCAAACTGGATAAAACAGCAATCAGAACAAATTGGGATGAAAACAACAGAACAAGTGAGAGAAACACATTTAATTCATTTTATTTGATTTTAATACATGTGGCGTTTGTCCACTTTTTGTGTTTAAACTCGGGGAGATCCCAAAGACCATTTTTTCCATTGCCCTTAAAATTAATCCTATTTAAATTTCACATTCACTGTTTAGACTATGCAACCATGACAGTGATCCTGGAATTTAATGTTTTTAATCAATAAAAAAAATCATGTTTATTTATGTTTAGCCTCACAATTGCAGCGCTGTTACTAAATGAATTTAGGGGTGTTTTGGGGTGAGAAAAAGGCATGCATACAAATCTTACATAAATGCCTCCTACAATGAACTTCTTTAGCTGACAATACAATATTTCAGGACCACTCTGGTCCTGTAAGATTGTAGGATGTTATTTTTTTCCCCACATAATCATCATAATTATTTTACATTGGTATAGCGTCATACAGAGATGATACTTTATTTTTCCCCCTTATCAATATGTGATTTTAAGATTTCATGATGAATGAATATCATAGTAATGAGTTCATGTGTGTATTTCATCTTGTTGTTTTTCTGAGCAGAATTAATCTCCATCATTGTTGTTGTTCCTGTTCTCATCGCTATTGCTGCTGTTGGATTTGTTGTTTACAAAAGGAAAAAAGGTGAGAGCTTCAAACGGGCTGAACTGTTTCTTTAATCAAACTGAACATGTCTGCAATTATTTGTTTCCTTTTTATTTTGGCAACAGAAATTGCACCTCGTAAGTAAACTGTTATTACTTTACTTTGATCTGTGGATTTAAAAAAGGTTGTGGTATAATATTGTACAAGAGAGTCTTATTATATATGTATAAATCCAAAATAGGACCAGTGGAATAACTATGTGTTTTCGATCTTACAGCTCCCGTTGACGTCTATGAATAGTATGAGTCACTGAATTGAAATTGGAAACCCAGCCCACACAGCGCCATATGGAAAGCTATACACACCTGCAGTTAAACACATTAAAAGCAAAGATGTCACAGACTTTGAACTTGGACCCGGGATTTTGATGGGTTGTGATTACAGCATGTGATCCAAACTGCCTCGAAAATACTTTTGTTGTCTTAATGAACCAAATGTTGGCTGTCTCACAAACTTTTTCAATTTTTTTTTCAATTTATAAAGTTTTGAGTCAGAGGCTTTAATCACTGGAAAAAAGAGAAGAAGAAAAAAGATTGGTCAATTCTCCAAAAACACTGTTCTAAATTACTTCATGTTGGCTTGAGTCAGGAGTGTATGACGTCCAGTGTCTGCCCAGATAATACATCATTGTAAACAAATAATCTCAGTCAATATCTTATAATATATTGTTCGGGTACTATAAAGCACGATCAACATACCCATCTGTGATCTGGATTAACTTATGTATTCACTTAGTTACGGTATTTCGGATGACATGTCTGTTATCTGTCTTTAGATCTGTTTTGTCATTTAAATATTAAATTATAATATTTAATTACTGCAACTTATTTAATTGTGCATCATGAGCTTACCTGCAGATGCAGTCTGACAGAGAAGGAGCGGCACCATTAGCTTCTAGCGGGGTTTGAAGGCAGAGGCCTTTGCATTCCAGTCTTTGGTTGCCAAAACTGGCTTTGGGCACCTCTCTGTTGGGGAAGAAGCCTGAGCTATTACTTGAGGCTGAGGGATACTTGGGTTCTGGAACCAGCTAGAGACAACCCTTGACTTGCACTGGGGTTCCTGGTGGCTGAGTTTGACATGTGTCAAAGTCCAAGGTCATAGTCCTCAGTCCGAGAAGGGTGGAGCCTACTCCAGGTTAGGAATGAATGACAGTCATAGGACAGGGGCGTAATTACTTCAGAATCTTGTTCATTACTGAGGGAAGAGTGGGAGATTGACAGATTGGTGGGGCATCAGCAGCCATGCACACTACTAGACAGATGAGCATGAAAATGAAGAGATTCAGTATATGTTCCTACTCTACCCTCAACTCAGAGTACTTGAAACATAAAGGGTGACATCAAGCAAACCAGCCGTGGAACAACATACTTCTGCAATGCAATACACTGTCAGTGTTTTACTATTAAAGATTATAATGATGATCAAATAATGTAAATCTGAAAAGTTGATCAATTAATTTAAAAAAAACAGCTTTATTGTCTTTTATGAGGCCCACCAAAATGTGTTTTTCTCTTCTTTTCTCTCATTAGTGGAGTATACATTATCTATTAGTTTAGTTATTACTTGAGTTATTTCTTTGGCTCTGCTTAATGTTCAGTAATTTACTTCTGAAACTGTCATGGTCTGTGTCAATAGAAAATTGTACTTAGTAGTCAGTATAATCTTTTAATAATATAAGTTTGCATATGGTAGAATACTGCATATTGACCTTTTGATGACTTAGGCTGTTGTTCACTATAAGACTTTGTGTGCATTCCAGAGTGTTCTGGCATTCACACCCACATCCTGGGAGCATGGGAGAGGTCGTACCTTCTCTTATTGTTTTATGGTAGGATAAACGTAGTTATGTCTGTCTTAGTCTAAGTGCCTTTTGTTTAGATGAACTTCCAGACCAGCAGGTTTAGGTAAGTCTTTATGGGGTCACACTCTGACCACACACACACACGCACACACACATATGAACATCCACATTCCAATGTAATGAACAAACACCCACTGATGTCTATAAATAAAGACCAGGGCAGTGGCAGAGCGCAAGTCCCTGAGCTCTCACTCCCGTGCGGGCGCTCTGTGGCTGCCCTTGCAGCAAGTAAAAACTGTGTTTCTCCTCTCTGATTCGAAGCTGAAGAAGTGTCTTAGAATACATCTCTTGACAGTCTGCGTGGCAGACCGTGGGGATGTGGGGAAAAGAGGACCCAAATGCTAGACTCTGTGCAGTGAACAGTGCGTTTATTTACAGTGCAGCAAAGATCGACAGCCAATAAATCCCTGTATGTTCCCGACTCCCATTCCGTGTTTCCTCTTCGTGCCTGTGCTCCGTTACCTGTGAACCATCCACCTGCTGCTTCCTCATTCCCACAAATCCTCCTGGGGAAAAACACACAAAGGCAGCTTTTAGAAAACTCCACAATCGCAGCTGACTAGCACTTACAGGCTTACTAGAAAACTGACAGGGCGTCACATGTACAATCCAGCATCGACCCTAGCTCAGCCACAGTCTTAAATACAGCTCCCTTGACGAGCGTAATCTGCTGCAGCTGGCTGTGGATGATGAGTGTCAGGTGTGGCTACCTCTAGCACAGAAACACTTCCGGGGTCGCGATCCCTCAGGTGACCCGAAACATCCGGAAGCACACACGGAGAGAAAAAATAACAGGGCAAAAAAATTAAAAAACATTACAGACAATCCACAAAATGGGCAAAAAAAAATTTTCTCTCACCTTCATCAGTGTTAAATATTTTTTTGCCCCAGTTTGTTCTGATCACAGTTTTATTCAGTTTGGTGACAATGATGTCCTCACCACCAAAGAGATGAAACACACAATCGTACCGTCCCCAGTCTTCAGTTTTGACTGATGAAACATTCAGATCAACACTCATCTGAAAGGTCTCATCATTGTTTGGGAGGATCTCTCCAGGATTCACACCTCCATGGAGCTCCTCTCCATCTTTCCTCCAGAACATCAAGGGTCTGTTAGGATAGAAACCTGTCGTGTGGCAGCTGACTGGAGAGGAGGGAGTCTTCTGGAGGAGAGACACTGAGGGAAGAACTGGAAGAAGGAAAGGAATTCAACCAAACCTAATATTCAAAACAGAGTCGTTAGAGCCAAAGAATCATCATCTGAAGTCATGTCAACTTTTATGTAGCACTGTTCAGACAGAAGGTAATTGACAGAGCTTTGGAGAATAAATGGGAGAATAAATACAAAGATATATTTAAAACATGTAATGTATATGATGATATAATGCATACAACTTTTTATCACCAGCTTCCAGCAGCTGCATGAAGCTACATTATGACCTATTTTAAGCTAAATATCACCTGAAACACACTGAGATATACTAATGAAATTGTGAACACAAGAATACCAGAAAACATAATAAATATTATCTAAATCCATCCATCAGTTTTAACATTGCCAGAAGCCAATTTCACCAGTAGGTGGAGCTAAAAGAGAGGTTGCAAAACAGCTCCTTCACCGTTTGGAAACCATTGATGATGGTATATGTCACCTTGTTGCTTTGTGTTTAAGTGGTCATGTGATTGGCTTACCACGACTACTTTATTCTTCCTCAGTCAAACAGCAGCACTCATCCAATCCAATTCCAATCCGATTTTATTTATAAAGCACTTTAAAATACCCAGCACAGGAACAAAGTGCTGTACAGAAAATAAGTTAAAACAATAGAATAACAGAAAACAGCAAAATAAATAAATAAAACACATAAAACATAAAATTAAAACAGCCCTATATTAAAACAAAAACAAGATAAAACAGCATCGAATCACCTAAAAACAACTAAAATAAAAATAAAAACCCAACATCTCACGTGGTGTCAAAGGCCAGGGTAAAGAGGTGCGTTTTCAAGAGTGACTTAAAAACAGATAAAGAACTGGCCTGTCTAATCTCTAAAGGAAGCTCGTTCCACAGTTTTGGAGCTGCTACAGCAAAAGCACGATCTCCTCTAAGTTTACGCCCAGTCCTGGGTATCTTCAGGAGCAGCTGATCAGCTGATCTGAGAGAGCGGGTGGGTGTATAAGGCTGTAGCAGCTCAGAGAGATACGATGGGGCGAGTCCATGGAGAGCTTCACAAGTAAATAAAAGAATTTTAAAATGAATCCTAAAAGAAATGGGCAGCCAGTGAAGTGAAGCTAAAACAGGGGAAATGTGCTCAAACTTTGGAGTGCCAAACTTTGACCCCCAGGTTTGTGACAGTTGGCTTAACATACTGGGCCAGGGAATCTACATACACATTGGGGGTCTCAGTGGGGCTACCAAAAACCATCACCTCTGTCTTTTTATCATTGAATTTTAAAAAGTTAACAGACATCCAAGCCTTAATGTCATCAAGACACTGAAGTAATGGCTGTGTAAGGTATCTGCCTTTTTTCTTTAGAGGGACATAGATCTGACAGTCATCAGCATAAAAGTGGAAAGGAATACCGTGCTTTCTCAGTACAGAACCGAGGAAGCAGATATAAAGAGAAGAGGAGGGGACCTAGAACTGAGCCCTGTGGGACACCACACAAGAGGGGAGCGGAGGACGACACATAGTCACCGAGGCACTCATGCGATTGTTTTGCCCCCTTAGCTCCAGGTGTTGTGCTAGACAGTGATCGTGATTACCGTCCGCGGGAGCGCGCAGCTGCTTAAAGCTGTAGTGTCCAGATTACTTACAGCTACTTCCATGCAACTGAAATAAGATGCGGTAAGCTGAACACAGCTTCAACCGTCTGTTTGTTGAAAAATAGTAACGGACCGTGTTTTCTTGTTAGTAACTGTAACGGCGTTGTAACGATAGGAATAATAATTAGTTAGATTACTTGTTACTGAAAAAAGTAACGCCATTAGTAACGCCGTTACTTGTGACTGCTGTTGGCATCTGTGACCCTCAGCCTGCTCCCCGGGCATGCAACAGCATAGAGGATCGCACTGGCCACAACAGACTCATAGAAAATCCTCAGCATTTTCTGGCAGATGTTGAAGGACCTCAGTCGCCTCAAAAAATAGAGACGACACTGGCCCTTTCTGTAAAGTGCTGTGGTGTTTGTAGCCCAGTCCAGTTTATTGTCAATGTGTACTCCAAGGTATTTATAGTCCTCCACAATGTCAACACTGACCCCCTGGATTGAAACAGGGGTCAAGTGTTTCCTGGTCTTCCTGAAGTCCACTATCATTTCCTTGGTCTTTGCCACATTGAGCTGCAGATGATTCTGCTCACACCACGTGACAAAGGAGTCGACCACAGCCCGGTACTCTATCTCATCATCCCTGCTGATGCATCCAACCACCACGGAGCCATCAGAAAACTTCTGAAGATGGCAGGTCTCTGTGCAGTGGCTGAAGTCTAGAGGGTGAAGAGGAAGGGGGAGAGGACAGTCCCCTGTGGTCCCCTTTCCCACTGTATACATAAAGAGCAGGTCTTCAAAGATGATATTAACAGCTTCAAGCAGCACTTGACTGGAGGCACTGGAATAGATTATATGTATATTTCCACTAAATTAGATTTTTTTTCTTTTGCTGTGTTGGGAACTCTCTTTATGACATCAGCTTAGTAGATCAGATGGATCCCGAATATCACTCTGACATACTATACACTAAATTAAATATAAACTCTGGCCTCATTTTGTCTCTTGTACTAACTTCTATTTGATTTCTGATATTATTTGTGTGTATTCACATTAAAGTTAACCTATTGAGTCACAGGTTTGAATAAAGAAAATTGGTGGTGGAATAATATTCAGATAGTTCCTAATAGTTGTCGTGATCAATAGGACTTTGGCTCCCCCTGCTGGTCAAATCAAATACCACGTTAAAGGTTTGTTTTAAATGGAGCCATGACGTCTTGGTGCGTGCTCAATCATCCAGCTAAGTAAATCCCAAAAGGTTGATTCTGTTCATCTGGATGAACAGAATCAACCTTTTGGGATAGAGACATGCCGTTTTAAAGGAGGGATAGAGAGGATATTTAAGAAGGTGTGGACCACAGAGAAATCCTGTCCAACCATGATAAGACTGTCCAGATGATGAGCGATCTGAATCTTTGTGTGCTTCAGTTCTCTGTTGTAGAAAGAAACACTGTCATCACAATGGGCAAGTTAGTGGGGGAAAAAATACTACACACTGCAAGATAATTTCACGAGTTTGTCATTCAAAGAAAAGACAGGAAAATTTGGAGCAATGAGCACAAGGAAACAGGCAGGCTGGGAGCTGAGCAGCCAGATCTTCAGAGACATGGAGTGTGAGTTACCATAAATTAAAATTTAAGTTATTATCTAATAACACACTTACAGGCTGGCCTTGGACAGACTAAATATAGTTGATTTGGTAACTTTTGTAAAGTTACGTAAATTTGGTCAAATTTATAGTTTTGTCTGACAAAAAGTGTGAAATTCAAAGAGATTTATCATTAATGTCACATGTCTGGAAAAAAAAGTCTAAAATTCTGTTGCAGGGATTATTAAAATGTTGAAGAGTTTCATA